TATGTGTGCCTATTTTTGTCCTTATATTCAAATTTTAAGGCACAGCAATTGAGAAAGCACGTAAAGATCATTGATTTAGTTACAATACTAAATGTTGGCCGCTCATATATGTTAAATAGTTTAATGGATCTTTAGCTCATACTTTTTTAGATTAATTTTTAGTTCAAAGTATTTTAATATTTGGAGTACTTATGCTTAGGGTTGTCAAAAAAGCCCGTCGTTCGAGAATAGCTCGTGTTTGGCTTGTTAATAACTGTTGTTCAATTCATTCATTAAGCAATTGAGCCGAATATGAATAATTTTTTTGCTCGATTTATAAATGAGTCGAACACAAGCAAAGGTTGGTTTACTCGTGTTCGGCTCGTTTTGACTCGAAACAATCAATTAATAATAATATATATTTATCTCATATTTATATTAATTTCTTAAAATATATTTAGAAAATATACATATAAGAGATTTGGGTCGTATAAATGCAAAATGTTAAATTTAGGTGCTAGGTATGTAAATAGATAGGATTTAGTTATTATTTATTTAAATACCCAAAAGAAAAAAAAGCAAGTCTAAGCCCAATCCCATCTCACGGTCCCACTCTTCTCTTATATTTGTTCATGTGCTATATATGAAATATGGAGGAACCGACTCATATGTACGTAAATGCAAGCAAAAAAAAAAAAAAAAGGATTTGCTTTTATTGTTTTGTCCCAGACTCGTATGTACGTAAATGCAAGCAAAAAAAAAAGGATTTGCTTTTATTGTTTTGTCCCACATCTGTGAGAGAGGTTTCCTTACAGTCTTAGAGGTGCTTAAATGTTGGGAAATCCCACTTTTGAGCATTATAGTCGGATGGCCCACGTGCGAGTTCTATATTTTGAGCTCTAAATTGAGTCGAACATGAGCTTAATTTGAACATTCAAGCTTAAATTGAGCTGAACACGAACATGCTATTCACGAGTCATTTCGAACACGAACAAAAATAATTTTTTTACGAATCGAACAAGAACAAGCCTTGGCCTCTCTCAAGCTTAGCTCGTTTACACTCCTACTTATGCTAGGTGTTTTAAATGTATGACGGTGATTTTTATAATATATCATAGCATCAACTTGACATAAATAGGAGGGGGAATATCTTATTCATAAGTCTCATGAAGTAGTAGAAGAGTTATGCAATCCAAAAGATTTTAACTTCTCAAGCTGTTTCCTAGTGTTTCCTCAAATTCTAATTTGGTGCTAACTAGATTTAAGGTTCATCCTGGATAAGTATTGGACCATCTCGACTTGATCAGCTTGTGTTTTGATCCATGGAAATGATAGCAATTCTTGGTATTGATCTTACTCGTGTATTGGAAGTTGATGCACATTTAGCGGTAGTACCACTAGTGATCCACTAGGTAAGCAATTGGTGGTATGCCCCCACAAACTTTGTTATCTATTTTTTAATACAATCTAGCATATTATTAGTGTATGATTTGATTTGGCAAGGGGGCCCTTTGATAAATGTTTTCCTTTTTCAATGAGTGTTAAGCGTTGTTCTATTTCTTTCTTGTGTCAATCCAATCATCCCCTTAAATAGTGTTGGTACTTTCATAAGATTTGTTTAGGGTTTTATTCTCAAAATCAAGCATCATAGATATATTATGACTAGATTTTGTTTCTATTGTCTTCCCTCAAAATACAAGAAACATAAACAATGACAAGCATTGGTGAATCTTTTAGATTCTCAATAGATATAAAATTATTTGGGGTGAAAGAGCATTTATTAGTAAGGCATTTCTTCCCATTTTTGAAAAGACAATACTTTTTGTAGCTTTTTTTTGTAAACAAGTTCTCTTCCAAAAGATACGGACTTCCTAGGTTTACATGGCTGGCATACATTTAAATGAGCAAACTCACAAGTAACATCATATTGATGAATTTCCTAAGGCAACAAACTTGAAAACATATTGTTGGGTGATTTGGTATGCCATCTCTTTTTCGATCCACCTAAGGAGTAGGGTTTGGCATGCGCACTTATTGAAAGCTTGAACTTCTCTATCATCTTCTTAACAACCAAATTGCTTTACTTGTAAATTAAAAAATAAAGTGAAAGAACATAATACATCTTGGACCGGAACATTGAGGTAGAAGAGAACTTTGGTTGCCCTTTTGCTGTTATGGGTTCTTTTGGTGAATTTTAGTTCAACCTATTCAGAATATCAGGCTTTAGCAATGGTAGCTAGTGCCTGCTTTCCTCTCATTAGAATTTAGGTTTCATTCTAGGATGAAGTTTCCAATAATTTTTGGTTTTTGTGCCCCTTGAGCTTGCATTTTGTACAATGGGACATTTTATTTCATATTTTTTTTCATTCTTCGTGCCCAAATGCCTTCTATTACTTTGATTTTTTTTTTTTAATTCTGTTGGCTCATTTCTCTCATTGCTTGCTATTGTCTTTTAACTAGCCCAACAATAAAATACACATGTAACAACTTCGATTCATTTTGAAGTCCTTCATGCAAGCTTGCAACTCACTTGATGAAATTATATCTCTCCTTGGATGGAATTTATAAGGCTACGGATAACACAACCAAATTTTGTTGTGTAAAATCAACATGCTTTGTCCATACCTTTGTTTAGTTATTGCTACCAATCCACTAATATTTTTTGTTTTTCTGAGTAGTTAAAACCGAGCTACAAACTATCCTTTATAACTTTCCAATGTTTCTTTTGACTTGCCATAGTTAATAAAGTTGATAATTGCACGTGAGGACAAATTATTGACAGAAAAGGAAATTTTTGTTCATGAAGATAAATGGAGAATGATGTTTTTAAAGTGCATTAAATCATCTACCTTTTTGTACTAATATACTTATCATAAGTTAGCATTTTAATATCTCCTGATGGGAAATTGGTATCTTTGTGGACACTAGGTGGATATTTTTCTTCTCTCTCATATCCGGCTATTATCGCCTTTTCACCTCCTCCCACTTTCTTTGGTAAGGTTACCCTTGCCATGGTGACCACAAATGGTGCTGTCAACTTTAGTCCAATTCTAATTTCCAAGTGTCTTTTGCATTTCTAACTATTCATTGAGGTTTTTTATGAAGGTTTCCCATGAAGCTTTCTAGCATGTCAATTGTTGCTTCAATTTCTCCTTGGTTGTCCATGGATGGTTCTCCTTCTGCTCGGGTGGGATTTATGTTTCCGCATGCTAGAGTTCCATTTTGGCTTTCACCATTTTTTTTGCTCCCTTTCTGCATGTTTGATCGATTCTTTGATGCTAAAAGTATGATCCCGATAAAAAATGCTGAGGGTTAATAAACTTTGAATAAGGTCTAGGGGTCATTTAGACATTATAATCGAGCTTAGGATAACTGATATTTTTGCTGTATGGAGGTAAACTGTAGGCTTTGGACTCTTTATCAGAATTAAACAAAGGGGTGTTCAATCTTTGGGCTAAGGAGAGGGGTTGAAGCTTAATGGAGAGTGCTTATGAATGGTAGGAGATGCAAAAGGAAACTTGTATCTTAATTTAGAATCTAGAAGGGGTAAACTGGAGAAATGCTTTAGTTGAGGGGAGATGTCATGACCCCTCTCTTAATTTTAACGCTTCTCCATGCTTCCTTTTTGATGGTACCGTGCTTGCTTATGGTTCTCAAGTAGAGAGAGAAGAAGATGAGATAGTTAAACTAAGGCAAAGAAGAGGGAAAAGAAAGAGCTCCTGGGAGGAA